TATGAATCCATCAGAGTACAAATTCTCAGTTCTAAGGATCTTCCATCAATTCAGGAGGTCTATGCTCTTGTCCAGTCTGAAGAGAGCAGGAGAAACTTGATGRACAGCACCGGAGGGGATGCAATTGTGTTGGCGGCAAAAGGGGGTGCCTCTACTAGTGGTGGATCATCTTCCAGGAGAGGGAATCTCCAGAAGAAAACAGAAGATAAGGAGAAATTGTGGTGCACTAACTGTCAGAAGCCCCGACACACCAAAGATACTTGTTGGGATCTTCATGGGAAACCAAAATRGGCTCAAGATCTRCCTAAGAAGCAAGGCTCAGATGTAATTAAAAGGCCTGGGCAACAAGGTACCAAGAAACACCACATGGCCAATATGGTTACTCGGGAGAATCAGCCCTCCACTTCTACTGTGACTCAAACACCACATGGCCAACATAGGTACTCTGGATCTGACCCAAGGGAGGATATTGTAAACTCCTTCCATGACCATCTGGAGCTTTATGGTAGAACAATACACCAGATGGATACTCTTCCCACAACCTCATTTGCATCCACGTCAGGTAATCCTGCCACTACTTTCCATGTTGCTTCTCACANCCTTACACTTTCTGATGTTCTTCATGTTCCAAAATTTCCTATGAATTTGTTCTCAGTCAGTAGTGTTACAAATTCGTTAAACTGTTCTGTGACATTTTTCCCTTCATATTGTGTGATTTAGGATCTGGCCTCGGGGAGGACGATTGGTAGGGGACGTATGGTTGATGGACTCTATATGCTGGAGAATATGACTGACCTTCATGTTACAGAGTCTATGAGTCAGTTCAGAAAGAGTAAAATGTATTTGTGGCATTGTCGCCTGGGTCATTTGTCTTTTGAGTCCTTGAAAGTTGTTTTTCCAGAACTGTGTAAGTTAGTGTCTGTTTCTGATTTCTCTTGTCAAACATGTCAGTTAAGCAAGCATTGTAGAACTCATTTCCTTCAAAAAAATAGTAAATCTGAGTTTCCTTTTCACATTGTGCATTTTGATGTGTGGGGCCCTGTTACTTTACCTTCTGAGAGTGGTTACAAGTATTTCATTACTTTCATTGATGATTATTCCAGATACACTTGGGTATACCCAATGCGAGCCCGTGAGGAAGTACAAAAAATTATTCAAAATTTTCAACGGATGATCTTCACCCAATTTCAGACCGAGATACAAATATTTCAGTCAGACAATGCAAAAGAGTTTTTTCATAGTGACCTCACGAAGTTCTTTGCTTTACATGGATCACTTCATCGGAGTTCTTGTGCCCGCATGCCACAACAAAATGGTGTGGCTGAATGGAAGAATCGACACCTCCTTGAAGTGGCACGGGGTTTAATACTTCATATGAATGTTCCCAAACGATTTTGGCTTGAGGCTGTCTTTGTTCTACATACCTCATTAACCGAATGCCCTCTCGTTGGTTAGAGTACAAAGCCTCACATCAGCTTCTCTTCCCTAAGGCCCCTCTTCTTTCTATCCCTCCTCGTGTTTTTGGTTGTCGGTGCTTTGTCCAAAACCTATCTCACACCTGGGGGAAATTGGACTCTCGTGCTATCCCGTGCATATTTCTTGACTACTCATTCTCTCAGAAAGGGTATCGTTGCTTTGATCCTGTTTCTCGGAGATTCTATATCTCCATGGATGTTACATTCTTTGAAGATGAGCCCTTCTTTCCTGTTTCTCCTCAGGGGGAGTGTAGGCATGAGGAGAAATTGATTTAGTTTCCTCCTCTTCCTTATACTTCTCTTTCTCCCCCTTCTCTTCCTAATCCTCCACCTTTCCGTGTTTTTTCTCGTCGTCGTAAAGGCCAACCAAGTTCAAGAGTTGTGGAGAATCCATAAGTTGTACCTCAAGTGCCATCAAACTCCTCGGGGGAAGATCATACTCACTCAGGTAACTTGACTCCCAATGATGGTCATGACCTCCCTGTTGGTAATGATCTTGACCTTCCTATTGCCCACAGGAAAGGTGTTAGGTTGTGCACTACTAAACACCCCATTTCCAACTTTGTTTCCTATGAGAACATCTCACCTTCATTTTGTGCCTTCCTTACCT